CAGAGATCCACTTGCCTCTGCCTCCCAAGTGCTGGGATTAAAATGAAAGGTGTGCAGCACCATCGCCCAGCTAAGACATCACTTTTATTGGCCAGAGTGCTTGGTTATTAACAACATCATGCATGCTTCAACTGAATATGAGTTTATGCATAAAAAGGTTCAGTAGGGCGCAATGGCCCCTGCCTGTAGTCCCAGCTGTTTGGGAAGCTGAGGTAGGAGAATCACTGTATCCCAGGATTTCAGGACCAGCCTACATAGTGAAACCCTGTTGTAGTGAAAGAGGAGAAAGAGGAAGAGAGAGAGAGAGGAGGAGGAGGAAGAAAAGGAGGAGGGGATGGAGGTAGTAGAGAAATGAGAACAAAACGAGGAGCAAATCCTTGCAGGGATAAAAGCGGTTCCCTCCGGTGGACATGTGACTGGAAAGCAGCTCCAGTTCCCCCGCGGACTGAGCCAGTGCTAGAAGGTCAGGGAATAAATACAGCCCTTGTTTAGGCAGATGGATGTTCAGAAAGAACTTCTGGACCTCTGGGCATCCAGTCAGCAGAGCTAGCTAACCCGAGGGTTCTTTCGTTCAATCATACACAGGCGCCCCCAGGAAGCAGCGACGGGAGCGAACCACATTCACCAGGAGCCAGTTGGAAGAGCTGGAGGCCCTGTTTTCCAAGACCCAGTACCCGGATGTGTACGCCCGTGAGGAGGTGGCTCTCAAGATCAACCTGCCTGAGTCCAGGGTCCAGGTAGAATGTTCTGCTCCCGGGACCTCTCTGGACCCTTACTGTGATCTGTGCGCTGTTATCAGATCTAGGGTGGAGGAAAGACAGACGACATTTATGAAATAGCCCAAATCCCTCACTTCCCTAACTTTTTCTCTCTCTCCTTCCTCCTCCTTCACTTTTTCCTCCTCTTCTTTCTCCTCCTTTTCTTCCTTCTTCTCCTTCATCCCTCTTCTTCCTTTTTTCAAGGCAGGATTTTTCTGTGTAACAGCTCTGGCTGTCCTGGAACTTGCTTAGTAGAACAGGCTGGCCTTGAACATACAGAGATCTGTCTGCTACTGCCTCCTGAGTGGGGGGGGGGGGGGGGGGGGGGGGGGCGGAGAAGGGAGTTGGGTTAAAGGCGTGGTCGCCACCTCCTGGCTAAAACTTTTTGAGATTAGGTCTTTTTTTTGTTTGTTTGTTTTGTTTTTTTGAGACAGGGTTTCTCTGTAACTTTGGAGCCTGTCCTAGAACTAGTTCTTATAGATCAGGCTGGCCTCGAACTCAAAGAGATTCACCTGCCTCTGTCTCCTGAGTGCTGGGATTAAAGGTGCTGTATCACTGCACCCAGCTAGAGATTTATTTTTAATTATATTCGTTTATGTGTGTGTGTGTGTGTGTGTGTGTGTGTGTGCAGTGCCTGGGGAGAGCAGAAGTGGGCATCAGATTCCTTGGAGCTGGAGATACAGGCAATTGTTAGCATGCAGTGTGGGTCCTCTGCAAGAGCAATACGCACTCTTAACCACTGAGCCATTTCTCTAGACTATTTTGTTATTTTATTATTTTTTAATTATTCTTTGGTTTGGAAGGAGAGTGTGGAAATGATGTAATTATAATTTCAAAATTTTAGGTAAGTAATATAATTTTTTTTTGGTAATTTCATGCATGATACAATGTATTGAGATATCTACTCCTTCCTCCCCTCCAAGTACTCCTGGACCCCCCCTCCATTTCCTGCTCAGTTTCATTCATATCTTTTTTTTTTTTTTCGAGACAGGGTTTCTCTGTGGCTCTGGAGCCTGTCCTGGAACTAGCTCTGTAGACCAGGCTGGTCTCGAGTTCACAGAGATCCGCCTGCCTCTGCCTCACGAGTGCTGGGATTAAAGGCATGCGCCACCACCGCCCGGCTCTTTTTTGTTTTCCTCCTCCTCCTCTTCACCATCCTCTTTTACAAGCCACTGGCATATACTGTGCATATGCAGATGGGCGTGAGGCCATCCATTGCAGCATTGGCATTGTGAGAAAGTCAGCTATGCAGGCACGCCTTGAACTCACTCTACAGCCCTGCAGACCTTTAGCTTCGGACCATCCTGCTTCAGCCTCCTGAAGAGCAGGCTTACAACAGACCTGTCTCAGCAAGCCTAGCTTCACAGGATTTGTCCTGTCACCAAGCTTGTTCATCCACCAGTCAAGTCAGCTCACAAGCCAGGAGACCCACATGGATCATGGTGCTTTTAATTCCAACCCGAAACCCTGGTGCTATTGCGTCCCTACTTCACAGCATCTTCCACGCACTGTTCTATTTTTTTTTATTTTTTTTAAATTTTTGGTTTTTCGAGACAGGGTTTCTCTGTGGCTTTGGAGCCTGTCCTGGCACTAGCGCTGTAGACCAGGCTGGTCTCGAACTCACAGAGATCCGCCTGCCTCTGCCTCCCGAGTGCTGGGATTAAAGACGTGCGCCACCACCGCCCAGCCCACGCACTGTTCTAGAATACTACACTAAGCATGACGACTCGCCCCTGTAAACTCAGCATGTAGGAGGCAGAGGCGGGAGGACTGCCTTGAATTTGGGCCAGTCTGAGCTACACAGTGAGCCTCTGCTGCAATTGTATGATTTGCGTACGGTAACACTAATATTCCTCACAGTAGAAGAATATTAATCCCTCTGATGTCTCTGTTTAGTAGTAGAGGAAAGTTGATGCATGATCATTAGGTGAATGAGAGGATTTGTGGGTGAGAGAAGTGTGTACGTTTGTGTGTTTCGTGGTGTGGGAGCCAGGCAAATGCTCTACCACTGAGGTACATCCCTAGCCCTGGTATTATGGAATCTATATGAAAAATTGCTGATGAGCTGATGAGTATATGCAAATATGATATATTGCATGTGTTCATTTTCATGTGCAAGAGCATGTTAATATAATGTGTGCATATGTGCAAGATTGTTTTATATATAGGTGAGGATAATACATGACGCTATCAGGTAGGTGGCTGAGTGCATGCAGGTATGTATGTGTAAATGTGTATGGCTGCATGGCATATATATGAGGATAATGCATGATTGTATCAGGTTGGTAGGTGATGCACATAGACCGGTAGATGCATATATGTATGATTGCTTGTATTATGAAATATGTGTGATTGGTGCATGTAGGTTTCTGTGTGCATGTGTACGTGCATGATTGGATGGGTACACCGCTCATGGACAGAGCTGCCCCGCTGTTGGGTGCAGAGAGGTGAAGTGTGCCTCTTTCTGTCAGCCTTGTCTTCCCTTGCCACCTGAGGACTCAGCTCTTTCCCCAGTTTATTCACGCTCATCTTCACTCTCTCCCTCTAGGTATGGTTCAAGAATCGCAGAGCGAAATGCAGACAGCAGCGGCAGCAGCAGAAACAGCAGCAGCAGCCCCCAGGGGGACAGGTCAAGGTTCGCCCTGTGAAGAGGAAAGCAGGCACATCCCCACGGCCCTCTGCAGATGTTTGTACAGACCCTCTGGGCATCTCAGATTCCTACAGCCCATCTCTGCCTGGTCCCTCAGGCTCACCTACCACAGCTGTGGCCACTGTGTCCATTTGGAGTCCGGCCTCGGAGTCTCCTTTGCCTGAGGCCCAGCGAGCTGGGCTAGTGGCCTCAGGGCCCTCTCTCACCTCAGCCCCCTATGCCATGACCTATGCTCCTGCCTCTGCTTTCTGCTCTTCTCCCTCCGCTTATGCGTCTCCAAGTTCCTATTTCAGTGGGCTGGATCCCTACCTTTCTCCCATGGTGCCCCAATTAGGGGGTCCGGCTCTCAGCCCTCTCTCAGGCCCTTCTGTGGGGCCATCTCTGGCCCAATCCCCTACCTCCTTGTCAGGCCAGAGCTACAGTACCTACAGCCCCATGGACAGCCTGGAATTCAAGGACCCCACAGGCACCTGGAAATTCACCTACAACCCCATGGACCCTCTGGACTACAAAGATCAGAGTGCCTGGAAATTTCAGATCCTGTAGAAGACTCTTCTTGTTCCCCCTTCCAACTGAAGCACCCTCTCTGGGCTCCATCTGCCTCCTCCAGCTTAGATTCCAGGAGAGTAGCCCCCAGGAAGGGACAGGAAGTAGCAATCCTGCCAAAGGCTGTGGACAGTCAGCCTCAGGTTCAGTCCAATCTCAGCTTCATCAGAGAGCCTAGCCCCTGTACAGCCTACCCCATCAATGAAAGAGGCTCTTGCCCCTCCTGAGCAATCAGTAGATGTCATGATTGTGATGTTTGTGTCTGCTGCTTTTCCAAAGACTTCAGTAAAGGTGCTTAGAATGTGCTCCAGAGAGAAAGGAAATCTGTCTTGCAATTTACCTGGAGAATGTTTGAGTCAGAACTCACGGTGCCCTAAGCCAGGTGTGCTGACTCAATGTTTATAATCCTACAATGGAAGAAACTGAGGCAAGGGGGATTTCTGGGAATTTGAGGCCAGCCTAGGCTCCAGAGTGAAACCTCTAAATTCACTTGGAAATTTTTATACAGTTAAAGTTAACAAATGTCAAGCTTACATGATAGATTTAAGGGGTTGTCCATTTGATTTATGTGTATATATGATTTATGTATCTGTATGGATATTGCAGGCATGTGCCACTAAACTGAGCTGGGAGGCTGTGTCTTGGACAAAAGCAAAATGCAAAAGAAGATTGATATGAATATTTGGGAGGACTTGAAAGATGAATAGAATGTACTAGAACCTAGTCACCAGTTCCCAGGTGAGATTGCGGGGGCACCAGTGCTGAGGTCTTCCGGATGTCTGTAGAAATTGAATCTCATCAAGAGGCTGGAAGCCCAGTTCATGGGCCCACCTTTTAGATGTCTACAGAATATGTCCAATATATATTTCATAAGCCAGGAGTGGTGGCACACACTTGGTCACCACAGGGAGGTGGGGGCAGTGGGAGTAAGAGTTCAAGGTCATCCTTGTCTATATTGCAAGTTTGAGGTCAGCCTGGGCTACATAACTCTCCCTTCCTCCTACAAATCCCACATTCCAAGCCATAAGACTGACCAGGAAAACGGCTGTAGATTAGGGCACCAGGAGTCCCCCTCATTTGATGTTAGCTTCTTTGTTCTGTTCTCTTTTTTTCCTACTTTCTGGCCTCTCAGGTCTCCCTTCCCTTGCTACCCAGAGTGAAACTGATTAAAAATGGTGGATCCCACTCAAATTTGAGTGATTTTTTTTTCTTTTTGTTTCTGTGTGATTTTTTTTTTTTTTTGGAGGGGAAAACTTGGACAGGTGGGAAAAGATTAAGATTTGCTCTACCCTTTATGCCCAGAGTGTGTGTGCTTCTGGGTATTTCCTGTTATGGCAAAGTTTTTCTCTGTATCTTCTGAAAGTCGACTAAGAAGGGATACATGACCAGGGTAGGTAGGTCAGGCTTGGGATCCCAGCACATGGGAGCTGAGGAGGAAGATCTCAGGTTTAAGACCTAGGAAACTTAATGAGACCTCATCACAGATAAGTTTTTTTTTTTTTTTTTTTTAAAGATTTGTTTATTATGTATACAACATTCTGCCTTCAAGTATGCCCACATGTCGGAAGAGGGCGCCAGATCTCATCACAGATGGTTATGAGTCACCATGTGGTTGCTGGGAATTGAACTCATGACCTCTGGAAGAGCAGCCAGTGCTCTTAACTGCTGAGCCATCTCTCCAGCCCTCACAGATAAGTTTTAAAAGATTCTGGCAGTGTGACGCAGTGGTAGAGCCACTGCCTAGAATCCCCCAGTGAGGAACTGGGGTATGGTTCAGTGGTAGAGCCCCTGCTTAGTATCCCCCAGTGAGGGTCAGAGGACGTGGCTTAGTGATACAGTGCTCATCTGTTGCAGTATGAAAAATTTCCACACTAGCCCAGAGTGGAGTATAATAAAGGTTTATTAGGGGTTAAACTCAGAATTTATTAGGGGGATAAACTCACAGAAAGACTAGCGATCCACAGTCCTCTGTGTGCACAGTCAACTGGAACCCAATCCAGCAGCCAAGGGGCTTA